CTTTCATAAAGTATTCAGTTCAGCTTATATTTGTACGAATCACTTTCGAGTTTCACCATTTGCTATTACGCAATAACTGACTCCACAACCGTTGAAGTTCTGCACTGAATTCACTCAATCTTTAATCAGGTGATCATGAAACATACAAACCTGTTACAATCGATGCAGCCTCGAAAGCAAGACTCTTGTCGGCCTCAAAATTATTCCATCTGCCTCTAGTTTGTGTCTGCATAGCTTCAAACATCGCACTGCACATGGCTCATTTCGCACTCATCATCAACATACAACTCGCCATCAACCATGTGTCAACAAATCAGATTTTCAAACACAAATAGTATGCCTAATCGCCTCATCTTTTGAGCATGCAATTTCCTCTACCAAAAATAATGTTTTAGGAGATCGATGGAATTGGTATGTAGCTCAGTTATCTCCGGTTTGCGCTGTGGTCAAGCATTCCGCAGTTAAACACTAACGGTTGAACATGCAAAATCCATTTTGGCCTGAGATGCAATTTAAGCGTGTGTTTGTGTGTGCATGTACGTGTGTGTATATACTTTTAGCGGTAAGCGCTAAAAACAGTGTGCAATGTGTTTTGCAATCCGTTCGTAGGAATAAAACGATCTTCCATTCCAACAAGATCGATAAGGGGAGATGAGGAAAACAGAAGAAATATTTATGGTCTTGAATCAATGTGTTTTATGTGCTTAACCTACTGTTCAGACATGTGTCATGTCGCCTGAAAAACAATCCCGACTACGGTCAAACGTAGCGGCCATCCAGAAACACAATATCCCTCACAAAACCTTGGGTTATCACAAGTCAACAAGCCCTTATGCTACCGGGTGCTTATCTCGGTCTCGGTTAGGATGATGGCGTGGTGAGACAACAAACTCCTAATGAAAAATTCCATGAGGCATGAGGTTAAGGGCCGATCCCAAAAAGCGGACCGACAATCAACACACCAGCGAACAACACACTGAATCGAAACCTGAAGGCCTTGAGTGACAGGTTTCTATCCGTTCCCACACGGGTCCTTCGGTCACGTTTCCGCTTTGGATCTTCGCCCCATTGCCCTGTGGGTTAAACGTTTGAGTCGAAGGCTTCGGTAAGAGTTCCCAAAGAAAAACCCCTTTGTCTGCGTGGGCTGTAGCTAAGTATGTCGTGTCCCGAAGCCGTAGGTTACCGTCAAGCTTACCCACTATCTCTCTTTATATTTAATTTTGTGATAGATTTAGTTCTTGAAACAACCGTATTCTCGTGCAAGGTTATTGACATCGGTTTACTTCCATGTGGTAGACTGACTGTTCTGCAGTATGCAGACGACATTGTGCTACTAAATCAAGATCTAGGTAGGTCGCAGTCTTTTCTCTATAGTTTGAGTGCCAGTGCATCTATGTTTGGGATGTGTTTTGCACCTTCAAAGTGCAAAATGCTGCTACATGATCGGCTTAGTTCAGCCCACAACCGCACTCTTAATGTGGAAGTAGTGGAGGAAGTTGGCAAATTTTGCTGCCTGGGCAGACGTGTCTCACCTGCTGAACGTGTCACAGATGAAGTGTCCGCACACCTACAGAGGACTCGGTGGGCATTTGCCAACTTGAGACATTTTTAGCGCCGTTGCGAAATCCAGGTCGAATGTATACTTCGGTAGTTCGATCAGTGCTGCTATACGGTGCACAGACTTGGCCATTACGGAAACAGTATAAAAATAGATTCCTGGTGTTTTACCCACGCTGTCTACATCGCATAGCACGATGGACTAACCGGACGAGCAATGCCGTAGTTTTAGGTAATTTAGGACATTTGTTGCGCATGACACCAAATAGATTACCACGGCGCGTGCTATGTGCCAAAGCAATTGTTGGGTGGGAAAGGGTCAAGGGCGGTCCAATGAAGTCCTGAAATGAGAGTGTGAAGACCCTAACCAGGACACTCGATCATAAAGGTCCCGTTAAGCTCCCTGGATCGGGACCCCGAGATCACGGTAACTGGGGGCTAGAGACTGAGTGATATTGCTGGGTGTCGCAATGAAAAATTCGTGTTCTGGAAA